CGCTCTCATAGCAGCTCCCATCATCTCTCTCATATATTGACTTGAGCGTCGGAGGCTCTACGCCGGAAACCCCTCCGGCGTTGAGTTCTTGCAGGTGTTCTTGCGGCTCAAACAACGGTTCGAACGCCATCACATCAGATCTAAGCTCATTCGCACCGGTTCATCCCAGATCCGGACGTTTTCCCATTGGATCGTTTCAGATCTGAGAAGAGACCCATCAACTTGGGCATTTAAAATCGAGATCGAAATATTACTCGACTTGGGCTCGATAAATTGACGATAGCTTGAATTAAAAATGGGCCGACTAATTTAAATGGCTCAAAATAAAATAGCTCGATTAAATAATCGGGCAGGAAATTGGTATCGTTCGAAAATTTAATAAATTCTCAACTTTTCTGATATTAAAATTAAAATCGAGACTTAGACTTAATATTTTATTTTGTTTTCGAAATAAAAATCCGAACGTTTTCTCCATGACTTAGACTTAAGTCTTTAATAAATTATGTTATTAATAATCACTAAATCTCGATATAATTATAAACTTACTGTTTCTGAAAAATAAAGTCGAACTAATATATAAATCTGGTTCGGAGCAGCTGCTTCTATTTGGACCTCCTTCAGATGAGCTCGCCGGGCACGGTTTTACGCATTTATAAGAGGACCCTCGTCCGCATCGCACACTCAAAACATGTTTTATTTACTTAATTGTTATTTCATTTTACGTGGCTTGTAGTTACCTACGTCAGCACTCACGCAACCAATCTATTTTTATTTCATTTTGTTAGAAAAATAAAGCATGTTAATCTTGGGCGACAAGCCAAATTAGACCAATTTTTCCAGTGTAGAAAAGCTGTATTAAACTACAGCTATATATATAAATGAATTGTTTTCAAGTTTCTTATTTTATCTTGCGACCAATTTTGATTTGGAGAAAACGAACAATCATTTCTAATTTCTTAAACATCGATCGGCGAGAGAAGCCGTGTTGTTGTCTTTTTCGCATGAGCTTTCATCTCCGAAGATTATCGAAATCATCCTCGATTTTGCTGTCCAAAATGGCGGAGGAAGTTGCCTCATCGACTGCCACCGCCACCGCCACCGCCACCGCCACCGGCGCCGCCTCGGCAAAGAGGCGCTCCCTGTGGCCATC